TGTGCATGTGAGTGTGTGTTCCACATATCAAACCACACACACACCACTCACTCCCTCCTTATGAATTTCCCATAAGCCTCTGCTGCAGAGTTGTTTCCACATCAGATTTCTTCCCCACGGTGCTGATGGGAAACAGACTGTGTGCTGATACATTTATTATTTCATGCATGAGTTTGTGTCTGTGTGGCCTCCATCTGTGTGTGTGTTTGTGAGTTTGTGTGTGTGTGTTACCACAGGGACAGAACATTTTATCAACGTCTGTTCCACTTATTGCAGTAACACAAAGTCATAGTTAATTGATGAAATCAGAATGGCTCACTTGTGATTGGATAGAAAAACAAAGCCATGATCATATAAGGACTCTCTCAGACTGAATCCTTTTATTCTGAAGTTTTATTCAGTCATTAAACATGCAGACATTTCCCTCTATTATACCATGGGTATTTACTATTTTTTGCTGGAAGTAGTGGTGGGCTATATGGACCACCTCGATACGAGTATGTTATATTTTTGAAAGTATTTAAAATGACTCAGTGTTTTACTTGAACAAAATCAAATAATTATATAATATATTAATCTGTTGACTATTTCTGCCCATTCATTAAAGTCTTTCCTTAAGATTTCAGTCCTGATTAATTTTGGCAACGCCCGTGTGTTTTAATGCCACAACAAACACTCATTGAGCAGCTGGTGTACCTGTGCGGCCAAACAAACTCACATTGTTTTAATAAAGAAGCCAGTCAATGAGAATTACAACTGTGATCTCATTTTAAGTAGTTTTCCCCACAACAGCAGGAAACAATTAATTTGTTTACCTTGCTGATGAGTTTGAAGGTGTGCAGCGTTTCACCTGCAGCTCTTTATCTAACCACTCGCCTGACGTATCTCAAACCAAAGCACTTTATATATATATATATAATTATATTTTGATTTGTAGACACATTGTTGATCATTGATCGCAGTGAGTGCGAACCGTTGTCACCCCAGGTTTCACCAGGTGAATGTTTTCAATGTGAAGCAACAGTAGTAGGATGTTATAGCAGGAACTTAAACCAGCTCTGATAACGGCTGTGGGAGAGTCAACAGTAAACAGAGAGGCTGATGTCAGTGAGATAAAACTGTGATGGATTTCATTGTTTGCTGTGAATGCCCAGTGCTTGGGTAACTAAATCCATTGCATTTACATTCAAATGATTGCTAAATGAAACTGCACTGAATGACTATTACAGAAAAACCATAAATAGTATTAAAAATTAGGTCTGATTTCATAACAATGCTTAGGATAATAACTTAAAGACATGATAAATGTGACATAGAGTGGTCACCATACTATTATATGTATAGATTAAAAACCAGAATACTGAATTACTGCCCATATCTAAGCAAGAAGATTCATTCATTTTAAAGTGTAAAACATACAGGATGACCATCGCCTCGGCTTTGGTAAGGTACTGGAAGCATCAATGTGTCCAAACTGAAAGTGAAGATTTCCGCACACTCAGATCCATGTAATATATATATATTGCACTATATAAGTGTAAAAAATGGACATCTAAAACATCTACAAATCATTTTGCAAGAATTTGTGTCAGTACTTTCCTGCAGATTAACTGAACCCATTTAGTTTCATAATTGCTGAAATAGACGACAGTGTCATCAGCAAAAAAAAAAGTTTGGACCCTAATACTACTGATGAAATAGTCTCTAATGATATACTGTTAAATACTGTGTAATATTTAGAGAACTAAAAGCAAAGAGCTGGATCATGATTGTTGTATTTACCGGAGCAAATTTTATCTGTGGTAACATACACACTGTTTTTCATTCTGATTGAAGATTCTGGGTCACCTGTTTACATGTTATCTAATAAAGTCTCGTGTTTATATTTGCCGATGTATTTAATTGGAACAGCTGTGTGACATGCACAAATGTGATGAATACATCATGAATTTGCCTTCGTCAGTGCCTACCTTTCAGCATCAGCCCTTTCAGCAGTATCGTTTTGGCACTTCTTTGATCAGCTCCATATCTATCGTCTGTTCAGTGCAGTAGTTGGACGGATCCAACATTCTAATGGTCTTCAAAGTATTCCAGTGGTTTTTAATTGGTTTATTGCTTCGGTTAATTTTTTTGTGGACTTATTTCTTTTTTTTGTATTTAAATAATTTACATGGTACAAATTTTCTTTTGATCTGTTTATGAAAAAGTTTAATCTACCCCTTTGCAACTGATTGAAATTTGGGCCTGTTAATTCTGATTGAGGTGTTTATATGTAGAATTTTTGTTCTGTTTGGGCTTTTAAACCAATTATAATAGGAATATTAGAGATCTGTTTACTGATAATTGAGTCAACCATCATTTCAAATTTATCAAAATGGCATTAATGGCAGTTGATGTCTGTGTTATTTGGTCCATCCAGGTAGCAGGGACATGGTTCTGTTTTGCAGAGAGTAAACCCTCCACCAAACTGATGTCATCGAACAGTAGAGAGTCAGAGAGCGATGCTTCTGTCGGATCGATGAACAGAGCAGGACGGTCGCTGCTGTTTGTACAGTTCAGAATGTGAACTGCACACACAGGAGGCTGAGAGTGACGACTGATAACAGCAAACAAAAAGCAGCGACATGCGATTATAACCAACTACATAACGATTGATGTGGAGTGGAATTCAAACAAACATTTATTTAAAGGGAAATATGTGTTTGGCTTTTGTTTCGTTTCATTTTAAAATTTCAAAAACATTTGTACACTTTTTTGGACTTTGACTGTGATGCTTAAAACTACATTTTCAACAACTTTTAAAATTTTTCAATTTTTATCAATATAGATATGATATTAGTCACTATAACATATGATCTTTTTTGTTTTGTTTTTAAACAATATATTTTTACAAAAGTCTTGATTTTAGAATGATATTGTGAAATACAAGTTGTGATTAAACTGTGATCTTTGAACTTAACTTAACTAACCTACAAGATTACAAATAAATGAATTTTAAACCAGGCATATATCATACATCAAATAATACAGTAATCGCTTAATCAGCTGTTGATAAATTAAGCTGTTGGAAGCTGAAGAATAATGCAAACTGATGTTTAATATGTGTGCAATTTAACATAAAAATTATCCTGAAAGGTAAATAAAAGGTAGTTTTCTGTCTCCATCTGACTTATACATTGAGACAGAACATTAGTTTGCGGTAGTTCTTCACCAGTCTGGTTCGGTCTCTGTATGTCTTCACCACCAGTGGTCCCATATTCACTGTTAACTGCTGTTTGGATCGATATCGGATCAATACAGCAGCTGATGGACCAGCAGAGCTCGATCACAACACAGCAACCTGTTAGTTAAAGTTTAATGGTCCAGCCGACTGAAATCTGGTTACTGTCGACTTTGTGCACTAACCTGATTTCTTTCTACCATGTAAAAGAGAAACACAGTTTTCTAATCAAGGGAGAAATATTATAAATATAAACTTAGTGTTAAATGTTTTGACATTTGAGCATGACAGAATTTGACAATATTGCTGTGAGAGAAATGAGGAAGGATGAAATCATTGGAATTGGCTGCTGAAATAAATAAATAAGAATGTTTCCAGACACATAGTAAGACATTTATTTATTTGTATATATATATATATA